CCATTGGTTATGGTTGAACAAGCTCAAGTAAAATCTAGATTAATGCGATGGTCACTTTATTCAGGCCTACAACTTGAAATATTCACAAAGAAAGGGAAAGATCCGTTTAATTGCAGATGCTTAAGCAAGGATGTTTTATTGATACACTGGAACCTGAACTGAACTGAGAATGGCGGAGGGCTAACCTGAGTTTGGATGCACTTGATTGTATTGTATCGAATCCTAAGGAAACTGCATTGTTATATGTACAAGTTAGTTTTGAAAAGTGTATTGTTTGTGAATGTTGTGTTTTTGTTGGGGTGTTATGTACAATTTTGGGGATCTAGTACAGCTCTGATAGCTAGAAAGTTTCAGGTTGTGTGTAAAATAGTTTGTTGTGAATGCATTGACGAAGTGTAATAATTAATTGATTGTTGTTGACAAAATTTTGTATATAATTGTAAATAGTAAAGGCAGATTTTATAAAATGCTTATAACATAATTAAGTTAGGTAAAATTAGATTTTTAGGGAACTTGTTTTTGTATATGTAAATTGTGTATATATATGTAATAACTATGTAGAATAGGGGAGTTTTGCTTACGAAATGTAAACAATAAGACGTTTAAGTTGCACACTCTGCCAGTTCACAGAGTTTAATTGCGAGACGAATTTTTTATTGTGGACTGTCTCTGCACAAAAATATTCTAATTGGATATGAGAAATTTGGTTTTTACTGGGGTAACGTAATTAGCCAGGTGCCTCGTGGCATCTATTTGGGGGACGCTTGGTAGAGGATTAGCTCGCAACAGGAAAGAAGGGTTTTTCGTCAAAGGCAAGAACGCGGGAAACGGGAGAAACGGCTTTGGCGTCTCCGGCATATAGAAACTTTCAACTGTTGGGGTGGCGTGACGTAGAGGCGCACGTGGGCTCGCCTATATAGCAGAGTGTACAGAGCGTGGTGGGTTCTGGGAGACAGTGGGAGATACCCGTGCGTGTGCACAAACCTTGGCGCCACGACTGGTGCATATTGCGAGCCAGTGCTGCGAGGCTCGAGACCTAGTTGACGGAAAGCACTGCGGTACTTTTAGGTCCTTGGTGACTGCGGTCACGGGGGAGCGATGCTGGTGTCGTGCTCCGAGTGAAGAGTGGTTGGATTGCACGGATTCACGCCGATTCTCATTGCGAATAAGATCGCTCCTGCGATTGAGGCAAACCAGCCGTCTGGTTGCGCCAGAACGGACTTTGTGTCCCAGCGTGAACATCCGGTCACGGAAGCTAGGCTTTGTGCGCGCCTTCAAAAGAGAGTTGCGATGCACAATCAAAACCGATCTTCAATCGGTTTGGATCGCTTCCCCGCGATCAGGGGATAGAGGTTATCAGAGCAGGGTGTAAGTAGATTATTAAGTGTATATACTTTGTTTTGTTTCTTTGTTAATAAATATATTTGTTATATTGAAAGCTCTTGTGTCTGTGGTCAGCTGGGTGATATCCATGACGTCACACATGTAATACAAAGCTAACAAGTACCAACTTCGGCGGTTTCAGACAATTAGTCTCCTCCTTCGCTTCTTGCGAACGCTTTCGAGCGCCTGACTCCTGGAGCGGGGCTTGCCACCAGGAAATACTGCGTCTTTAAAGCTTCTTTTTCTCCTAAACCTACCCATCAAACCTCCCTCTGAGCTATAAACAAACCCTATCCCCTGGCAACCCATGTCCAATACCTCGGGCATCAAACCTTTCCGAAGACTCCTTTGGTCCAAACATGTCCTATACCACATAAAAACCAACCGAATCACAATCTTCCTTCACCTATCCTGTCCAACCTCTATTCAATCCAAAAAAAATCCAACCTAAGAACACCTACACCGCCCAACTATCTACGCCCATCCTATCAGGTTAATACCTCCATTTAAACTACAGAAAACTTACCGTTACAGAAACAGAGTTCATCCGCCTTATCTTGCCGCCCCCTCCACTAAACCCCTCAATAACTGTAAGAGAAACTTCACAATATCCACATTATTACTCACATACTTCCACAATTTCAGTCCAACCATAACAAAAATTCACTACCGAATCCTCCATGCAGAAAATTTAATCATACCCATCACCATATCTCCGTAACCCCAGACATACACGTAAAAAACATCCCTCGGATATTTCCTGGCACTCCCCCCTCCCATTACCTACGCCAAAGGGGGACACAGACAACGATAACGAGGAAAAACCACGGACATAAACACTGACCACTGAGACCAAAAACGACTTTTACTTCTTCCACCGCTTTCTACTCCACTATCCCACTCTTTCCCTAATCCCTTCCTCCTCCTTCCTACTACCAACCCCGCTCAATATAAAACTACCCTACAGTTCTCTTCCCTCCCGATCTCCAATCCCCGTCCCTGTACGGGGAGAGGAGTCGGCAACTAAAAACAACCACGAAAGAAAACAAAAACTGGACGAAGAGTTCGGCAAGAGACAGGACGTGCCATTAACTAAAACCTCTAAGATCCACCTCACTCACTACTACCACTCGAAAGATGCGTGCAGAACTTCCCAGTGGTTTTCTAGACATTGCGGTCGCATGTCGATCTGTATGCATGAGGGGCGCCGCGTGTCTTTGGCATTGGAATCAGCGACTGCTACCCTCAGACTAATTGCTCTGACAGATAGACGATTCAAGGTTCGCGTCAATGGCGTACATTCGTCGCCAGACGAGCCGCAGCGGCGTGCGTCAGGGAAGTGTGCTCTCACCGACACTATTCGGCCTGTACGTCAACGACGCGCCGCTTCCTAAAAAACTTATGCTAAAATACGGCATCAACATTGCGGCTCCTAATGTTAGCGAATGATTTCGCTACTATGCGAAATCGGCGGACAAAAGGAAATCGGTGAGATATCTGAATGATTGTCTCGCTGAGCTTCCAATGGCTAAGCCATAAAAAGTTTGCCCTCAACCCTGACAAGTGCGTAGCCGTCAACTTCACTAACGACAGAGGCCGACCCCGATGAGTCGTGAGCTTGTTAGGCAACGCTCTACCGCGGCAAAAGACGGCAAAGATCTGGTGTGAAGCTTGACAGCGCCTCCGCGGCACGCCACGCCAAGTTACGTTAGCCAAAAAATAATGCCCGAACCACCACTACGCCCACCTTCGAGCCCCCGAACTTCATCCTGCCATAAACGCCGCTATTACCGCGCGTGCGATCCATTGACGTATGCCTGCGAGGTATTCGGGCGGACCTCCTCACCCCCGCCGATTCCGCACGGCGGAAAACCGCGCTGCGCGTCTCGCGGCGTACACCTCCACGTCCTCTCCTCTTCCAATAGATCCCTAGCAACACCGAACGTGTTCGGAGTCTGGTGTAAAAAACCAATTCTTGCCGGAGCTCAAAGGCGGTCAGTGACGGCGCTTACAAGGGCTCTGGTCCGAAGGCGCGCGCATCGTGCGCGACACGGCGTGAGCAACAGTGGCGCGCATCGGTCCCACCTCTGGAAAGGTCCGAAGCGCGTCGCCTTCTCTTTCGCGCGGGCTCCTCACGACACGCTTGGCTGCTTGTGCAGGCGAGCGGGAGCGCCGGAGCGCGAGGGAAGACTTGCCATCGGAAGAGGACGCGCGGGGACCGCGAGCCGCGCCCACCTGCAACGCCTCCAATGGGCCCGAGCGCCACGGACACTTTGAGTCAAGTCAGTGCCGTGGCGAACAGTGTAGTGAAAGTGGGAAGTGAAGAAGCGTGAAGTGCGAATGATGGGAAGAATGAATAGTGTTGTATATAATGAAACTAGTATGAATGATGTTGTGAAGTAGAGAAAATGATAATAATAACAACATTTTACCAACAATACAAAATACAAATTACGTAGGAATATATAAAAAGAATTACAAAAATGATTTTATTGTCAGTTAGTAATGCAAAGGCAATTAAGATACTTTAGGTCTAGATTGTAAGTTAGTTGTAAGAAAAAGCCCCGCCTGTAGCTGCTTAAGCCGCAAGACAGCAGCATAATATAAAAACATTCATAGATAATAAATTCCCCTTCTTCACAGGGTTAGTGTGGAGGGGACAAAAGAAAAAAAGATTGGTCACGAAACCCGAAATCTCTGGGTGAAACCTTTCATGAAGTCTTTGGAAAACTCAAAAATTGTCTGTGAAAAAGTGAATCAAATTTCGCTACTACAATTAACAACCAAATATCATTCTCTTAAAAACAACTCCAAAGATTTCAACAAAAATTTATTATAGGATGAGGTTTTACTTTTAATATTTAATATTCTTAAGTAAATTTCTGCTATGCCAATTGAAAACCAAAAAATTAAAACAAAAAATGTACTTTGCGTGGATGAGGGTTCAGGGTGAGGTTGACGTGCTAATCTTTTATGTTTTGCGAAAGAGTTTGTAAAGCAAGCACACGTTCGGATTCTAAGGAAAATTGATGTTCAGTTGCTTCACAACAATGGGACCAAACATAAAAGAAGCATATAACTTTTGCCTAGACAAATGTGTCAGCTTCTTGGACTCCTGTGTCGGGAGTGGACACGATGATAAAAACTTCACATTGCGGTCAGACGACACGGAAATTATCAATTTTTCTGACTAAATACGAAATATAAAATATAAATAAAAACGGGTATAAAAAAATGACCATAAATTGAACGGATTAAACCAGAACAGTATAAGTGACATTTTATAAAATCTGAGAAATCTGTTTATTTAAGTCAATATCACTGTAAAGTCGTGGTGCTTTATCTGGTCATTAAATCTACGGCATTTCAATTGTTTATTAAAACCACGAAAATACGTTGCCTCTGAAATACAGCTCAAAATACACGTTTTTTCTAAGAATTTGTAAAATGGATCTTATATTCTGGTTTTCACCCATTCACTTATTCTTTGAATATTAACTCGGAAGAACTGTGTTTGTGCAGGAAACGGACTTTTACATTGATCCGAACATGGGACTTTCTGGATGTTGCCTACAACAGGATCTAAAACTGCACTGAAAGTTTGGTACGTTTTTCAGGTTTCTTTCCTGCTCTGAAAAGGTTGCTTGGGAATAAACTATTAATGTGCAACAATTTATCAACGGTATTTTATATACTCGGTGCTTCTGGCTACATCACGTTTGTAATGAAATACATGGAAACCCAGTTTCAACAAGCAGCATCAAGTGCTACAGGATTCGCAGGTTAGAAATCGGTAGTGCACTGATTACTAAATAAAATCACACAAAACAGTAGGTATATTGAACACAATTGTTAGTTTAAAAAAATTATAATTCCATGTTGGATAATATATTTTTTGCAAATCAAATATAAAGGATAAGTATTACTCGGGCAACTTTTCTTGAACGATGGATAGACGATTTCGGGTGGAGTGGGGGTATTAGTTACAAAGTCAGCCACTAGAGTATTTTAAGTAATTCCAACGTCTGTGAAATGAAAGTCAAAACTTCATTTTGTGCTTAACTTTTTCGGGAGTTTTAGGTGACTCCCTTGAAGAACCTAGACCTGACTCAGCTGACTCACACTCATTTCTTTCGATATTGACAATAAATCTGGACAGGGGTTCTGCACTATGAAAGCAACTGGCTTAGACTGGCCTCTGTTTCGCGCCAACGAAGTTTTAATGCTTGGAAGGTTGTCATCAGTGCCCGCTGCGAACTTTTGCCTTCAACTGTTTATTGCACAGGGAGGGGGATCAAGGTCATCGTTCAAGAAAAGTTGCGCAATACTCCAAAACGTCACTTGTGCATAATATAAGCATTGGTATTAAATACTGAAAACATTAATTTTCTTTCAGGATGTATTGCAATTTCTGCAATGGTCATCGGATTCCTAGTTTCGGGAATTATTATTTCAAAATACAAACCAAGAACACTCTACATTTTATCGTGGAACGTGTTAGCTGGATTATGTTATTTTGTGTGTGAAATAATATTTATGTTTCTGAGCTGCCCAAACAACAATCCAAATCTGAAGAACTCAAATGGACAGTATGTATGGATTATACAATTTATTTATATATTTCACTCAAAATACAGTACTCTGTATCTATAGATGGATAGGAAGTTAAAGTTAAATTCAGTGATCAGAAATAAAGATTTACATAAGGATTTCGCATTCTTTAGTCCCCGACCATTCCCTATGAACAGTCTCCGCCACTTTTGTTTCCCCTTTACTTCTTTATCATCCGTGCAAATGCAATACGCGGGCACCACTTGCTGCCTAGAATGTACGCATTTTTTGCGCAACCATTCACATTACTAAAATGGCGACACTATATTCGAAGACTGACTTGGCTGAAAAGGCAGCTTCATAGGAGAACAACAATTCAGTGAGCGAAATAAATAAAAGAATTATTAAGACTTACATTGAAACGATGAATACACATAGTAACTAACAATTAACTTAATATAATGTCCCATTTGTTTTTACATGTTACAGTGAGAACAAAATAATATTTCTGAAAACGTAAAATATTATATTTCAGTCGGAGTTGTTTAATAAGACCATAAGTATTTATTAGTTGCACATCGTGAGATGTATAATGTATATACTACCTTCTTGTATCAAGAGTTGTGTTAATGCACCTCATCCTATCTCTCTCTTTCACTCTCATCTCTCTTTCATCATATCTCTCTTTTCTTCTCTCTTTTCTTCTCTCTCTTCTTCTCTCTCTTCTTCTCTCCATTCCTATCTCTCTTCTCTCTCTCATCCTATCATATGTATCACATACTCTTATTCGTATAAATATTTCGTGCGTTTAATAATAAAGTGAATCAATTTGATACTTTTTAATTTGATTTTAATCGACTATGAAGGATATATGTACATATCTGACACGTTGTAAGATGCGAAAGGATACTTCTGTTTATTATTCTGTAAAAAGTATATTGATGGTAATCGTCTATTGCTGATTGGTATCTGCTGGGGGGTGACGCTTTAGACTGCAGCAAAACAGCAAGTAGATCTTTCTATTCTATTTAATTTCTCAGAATCATCTCGGTGTCCCACTATGTACGAGACCTATATACGTATTACGAAGGACATTCGGAAAGTAATACCCGTTTTGGATTTAAAAAGCTATTACATTTTAACAAATATTTTTATTTGAAAAAGCACATGCTTTAAACTACTTCTCCACATAGTCCCCTCGCAAATTTAAACATTTGTTATAACGTGTGACAAGTTTTTGTATCCCAGCTTCGTATTACAAAATTGAAGATCGATTTTTGCGTATGTATTGATGTATTGAACTATTTTTTTAACCAATCCGCAAAACTTAATAGAAATTTCGCATTAATGCCGCATCGATTGAGATTTGTTTTGTGTAAATCATCTCTCTCACGAAAAAATGCACGCACTCTTTGTTGAAAAGCAATTGTATTTATAGTATCTAAAATGCGGATGTTAAAAGTCGGTGATGAAATGAAACGCTATCGACACTGTTATTTTACGACGAAAGGCTCTCGAATGTTCGTAATTATTTTGATGTCAATTGCATATATTCTATTTATTGTATTGATATTATTAGCCAAGCGAATGCACATGGTTTTGACAACGCGAAAGATGGTAGCTAACAAGAAGATGGGGCAAGACCATAAAGCTAGCACTCACCATGGAAATTAAAAAATCTTTATTACGGGAATTCCTCGCCATCCCGTAGCATAACTAGTTTCTTAATGAAATGTGTTAATGGAAAACAGATCTAAAAATTTTGTCATGCTCGATTTTTGAAAAATTTTGTGACCAATATAGGCAATTTTTCTTTTCTTTAAACCATGTTCTCTTAAAAACGGCAAACATTTTTTGATTAAATTTCGACTTTAGATGGTGTAAAGAATGCTTAAGAGAATGGTGCAGGTCTCATGTTCGTTGAAATGTGTGATTTTTAGAAAACTGAAGAAAAATTGCCGACGTCTTCAATTGTGAAGATATAATTTTTACTTTCCCGTTTACATATGTATATACGGAGTAATATAGGAAGGTTGCCTTTTATGTTTCGAGATTTAGCAACCCTGGTGTTGCAATCTGGCAATTGACAGCTCTATCGTAAAGTTGGATGTTTTGAGGTTATACGTACTCAAAACGTTTTGACATACGAGCGCTATTTGTGTTGTTTACAGTAATTTAAAAGATTCATCTTGGCCCAAAAATGAAATTAAATCGTGAACATTTTCGTGCGATTATTTTTTACAAATTTCGACGTGGATTAACTCAGTGCAACAGTGCATGGATGAACTTAATTCAATTTTTGGCGATGAAGCTTCATCAAGGACCAGTGTTTATCGATGGTATGGTGAATTCAATTGTGGTCGTAGTTCACTCCAAGACGAATTTCGCGAAGGTCGTACAAAATCAGTTGTTTCGAAACCCATTGATGATCTGCGTGAACTGATATTGCAAGATCGTCATGTGATCTATCGTGAGATTGAGACAACCTTAGGCATTAGTGGGACCAGCATACATTCAATATTGCATGAACATTTTACTGTCAAAAAAATTTGTTTGCGTTGGGTCCCACATAATTTGTCAATCGCTCAAAAAGAGGCTCGTGTCGATTGGTCGAAAGAAATGCTCAAAAAATACAATCACGGTGCTTCGAAACACGTTTATGACATCTTGACAGGTGAAGAGTCGTGGATTAACGCGTATGAGCCCGAAAGTAAACAGTAGTCGACTGTATGGGTGTTTCAAGATGAGCAAAATCCAACA